TAACCCTCATAAATTTCCATGTCAAAAGGACTATTTTAATTTCTATTATGCTAATTTTTACTCAGCCTCGCACATCAACTAGCAGTTAAGATTTGTAAGTGGAAATTACTTACTTAGTAATTTTTAGATAAGTAGTGAGCTGAATGCTGTAAAGTGTCTCAATAAGTTGATCTGATTTGGCATATTTGAACCACTTATTTCATACTGACAAATGGTCCTGAAATATTTTGATATATTTCTTGAAATTATTTCAGATTGATTATAACGTGATTTCTAGAGTTCGGTTACAAATACACATTTATGTGCTTTATTTAGGGATTATGTGCAATTAAATACTTGTGTTAGTAATTTTTTCTATAATTTTGAATTTCACTGATGCAACAAATTGTCAAAAAGTTGATGTAATTTACTAGAATGTTAATATGTGCCTGCTTTGATACAGTGGTTCATTTCACCATACCTTTATAAGTGGTTGTTCTATTGGTCAGATATCCACTGTGTATTTACATTAATAAGTAAAGTTAAGTAAAGCTTCTCGCTACATGCCTATTTACATTAATTTTCTCATTTATATCACAAAATGGATTATTCATATAGCAGGTCCCTTGAAACATCTCTGCTTGTGTGAAGAAAGTTTAGCATGAGGACTGTAAATAGACCACAAATGAGGAGAGTAGCTCATAGATGAGGAGCCAACTGGAATATATGTTCTTTCTGATTCTAAACAAAAATTGTCAGAAGGTCCCAGATGATGTTATGTGAAGGGTAGCAGCAGTAATAGGCAGGTAAAAGGATTGGCTTGGATGAAAATGTACCACTTGATATCAAGGATTAGTCTTATTCCAATAAATACTCAGAATATATTCTCACATACATTCTTGTCACATTATTATTAGAGCGTTCAAATCTGTACTACCATCAGTATTACTTCCTGCTAGTAACTAGCAAACTGCCATTGAAGAGCGAATCACATGTAAGGACAAAATATTTCAATGCACCTACTCTCTGTAGGGGGCACAAAAAGTGCTACTGGTGCTTGATAAACAGTTCAAGACATTTTTCTTATATAAAGTAATTATTTGAAACCTTTTTGTCAATATTTGAATATTATGATCAATATGCGACCATCCCCCACCCCTCCCCCCCACCTGCAGAAAAAAGCAAAAATGTGATCATCTATGGAAGATGAGAAGTTTAGGTAGCTCAATTTGTAATACTTTGAGGTGTACTAATGTTGATGACCTATACAACAGAAATATTGCTTGTTGTTACAGTGTTTGGCATAACAGAATGAATGCCCCAAAATTGTGATTCTAGGGCCTGAAATAGAAAGATCATAGTAATATCACAACAGTGTGTTGGAAAGACAAGCTTGGCAAACACAGCTGTGGATGAGGGGATTACATTGTTCTGAATAATGATCTGAAACCTGAAGTAGTGCAAACTACAACACACATGAGATATGAGCTATGTTAATCAATGTTGATACATTTAACATAATGGACAATAAGTCTGGCATAAATCACACAACTTCAGATGTACAAAAAGACTTTCACTTAGTTGTCATAAATTAATTTTTAATGCGGAAACAAAATTAGTGACTTGCATTTCAGGAGACTATTTGTCAGTGAATTTCTCCTAGTAGAGTAATATGGGGCTGTAAATGGAAAGGGAAGAGAACAAGGTAAACCAAATCTATCATCGTCTCATCTGGAGGAGAAGCAATGAGCGTATACTGTTTTGAGGCTCCTATGTTTTAGAAACTGTACCTAGGGGAAATGACCCTCAAATTGTAAACTGATTAATTGGAAAGAAACCTTGATTAATCATTTGTCTGTGCATGTGAATAGCAGGAACAAAAAATTCTACAGTTTTTTTCAAGGGTAATAGTAACGTTTGCATTATACATTCACATTTTAGGGCAAGTACATTAATTAATAATGTCAAAATATTTTTCCAAATATGAATCTAATGATAACAGCTAATTCAATTCAATTCTTTTTATTAGAGTGCTGTATAAACAGCCAGACGGCCAATTACAGATACAGCACAAAAATAAAGTAAATACAATAATCATGTAATAATAATAATAATAAAGTTCTTAGCAAACAAACTCGTTAATAATTAAAACAAAGCAAAATATAACATTATTATTTATAAATGAAGCAATACCATCTACTTTAGGATATGCCTAAGAGTAAGCAAATGGTTACTAAAGATGTCAAAATCATTGCAAAGAGTATTCGCAGCTGATGCGCATCTAGCAGATGGACAACTTTGCATTCAGGGACAACAGCGAAAGGAGAGAAATCTCTAAAATTACGAAATGGGGTACGCACACCAACAGTCTCGAGTAAGGAAGGACAGAATTTATATCCGCCATATACGTTACTAAGAAAGAGGGCGTCTAGGTGACTCCTCCTAGTGCCAAGAGTGTGAAAATGTAGGTTTTCTAAGACATTGGCGTAATGATAACAGGCATGAGGAAAAAAATGATTGTAACACAAGGATAAGAAATTGCTCGTATGCGTTCAAGCTTACAAAAGTCAGCAGAAGTTAAAGAATTCCATGCAACTGAAGCATATTCAAGCTTAGATCTTACTAGACTAAAATATAACATATAAAGACTGTCCAAAGTTGAAAAAGAAAAAGTTATGGCACGAATAAGACCCAATAAATTCAAGGCTTGAGAAGATACAAAGTCAACATGGTGGTGAAAATGCAGTTTAGAATCAAGGATGATTCCCAGATCTTTAATAGTATCCGTACGATTAATGCGGGATCCACAAAGCTGGTACTCAAAACAAAACGTGTTGGTTTTCCTAGTAAATGAAATAACATTGGTTTTACTAAAATTAAGCTTCATGTGGTTGGATGCGCACCAGCCACATGAGGAGTCAACGTCCTTTTGAAGTAAAGAGCAATCATGAGGAGACTTTATGGCCCGAAAATTATTTACGTAAGCAGGTAATTCGAAAATTTAATGACATTACACAAATCATTAATGAACACATTGAACAATAAAGGCCCTAATACAGATCCTTCAGGAATACCGGACAATATTTCAAAAGGAAGTGACAAAGCTTCGGAATAAAGTACTTGCGAATGTCTGCTGGTCAGGTAACTACGAAACCAATTCACATAACCAGTACAGTCTATAGTCACCAAGTTTGTGCAAAAGTAAGGCACGCGGAACAACATCAAAGGCGCTGCTAAAATCAAAATGAACGGCATCAGCTTCAGACTGGGAACAAACTAAAGGGGCAACAAGGTCCAAAAACGTAACCAGATTAGAAGTGGTGGATTCGGATTTAATAAAACCATGTTCAGAAGGGTTTAATTTAGACTTAAAATAATAATAAACACGGTCATGTACAATAATTTCAAATACTTTGGAAAAATTGTTAATTATGGTAATAGGTCCATGGTTTAAAACAAAAGCAGTTTTGCCTTTTTTTTAAAACTGGCACAATAGCTGCTTGCTTTCACAAAGTGGGAAATTGTGGCTGAGAAAGGCTAAGATTGAAAATAAATTTAAGAATAGGAACAAAGATCTCAGAACAACCCTTAATAATAAAACTTGGTATACCTTCAAATCTAACAGTTTTTGCTGGCCTCAAACGCTTTATAGCATTATGAACATCAATGTCCGAGACAGAAAATAAAGGTAACACATCCAAAGTGGAAGTGATGGAGGGAAAATCCCCAGAGCAAGAATTTGTATGTGCAGATTGAAAATGTTTGGAAAAAGCATTGGCGATTTCATACGGCGTAGTTATAAGAGCACTGTTTTCACAAGTTTACGGTAGGAAGAGAATATATTATAAAAATATTGAGTCTCAGATTTCTTAAAACGTCTATAAAAATAATCTTTCTTTCTGATATAAAATTTCAGTTTCGCAGAAAACTGAGAGGGATACTTATTTTTATTAATTAATCCAGACGGAATTGCTAAATTCATGGCAACGGATACGGCGGTATTTAACCTAGCAACAGCAGCATCTAAGCAAGATTCTTCATACAAAGGAGTCCAGTCATAATTTGATAAGGCCTCATACAACATTAAATAGTCACCAACGGAGTATCTTTTAAAAGGGATATTAGTGGATTGTTTAGAACTACGCGAAGGCACTGCACAAACAATAATTACGGGAGGGAGGTAGTGATCCGCTGAACAATGTCATATTCAGCGGGATTAACACTAATATCTGCAAAATTTGTAAAAACAAGGTCATGTAATTTGATGCTATCATATGAGTGATTGTATTGACTTAAACCAAGGGAACAAATAGAAGAGTACATCATATCTCCTTTCAACTTGGCATAATAGTGACAATTTGCGGATGACAAACCACAATTCCAATCAAAACCAGGGACATTAAAGTCTCCAAAATGCGAAAATTAAAAGTATCTAAGGATTTTTCTAAAAAAATAAAATAATTATTTAACTTGTCAACCTTTGTGTCGGGTGAGAAATAGTGATTACCAATAAGAGAATTATGCCCATCACACATTGCGATCTCCACCCATATAAGTTCTCCACAAA